CACACACACACACACACACACACACACACACACACACACACACACACACACACACACACACACACACACACACACACCACAGCTCACTCACCTGATGCCTAATCGACTCATCAGTGTCTGGGACAAATTACGGAAGTGGAGCAGAGGAAAGGGAAACCGAGAGATGGAGGAGACAGTGCTGCCTACACCCGTGAAGGACTCCAACCTGTTTATGGGTCAAAGTGACTGGCCTGCTCCCAGTTCTCAGATGTCACAGATTTGCCTAAGAGCTGCACCCTAATTGAAAGAGATTAAGATAGGCTGACAACGGAGCTGGATCCCCCAAATTGAAACGCTGTAATCCATTAGTTTTCATCAGATGGGAGAGTGCTGCAGTTCAGGGTCGGGTGGGGAGTGGGGCGGTGGTCTACCAGGAAAAGACCTCTAATGAAGTGTCAGCACAAGCCTGGAGACTGCAGACAGGCCTATAGTTTCTCACTCGTAAGGCAAATGGCTCTCACTAGTTGCCTGCCAATCTTGATCAGGATACAATATCAATACTTGATTCTCTGTGTGTGTAATGCTTCTGATAACCAGGATTTAGCATATGTGTGCAAGCTGTTGGAGTTGAAAGCCTGCCACAGCAAATATCGTGCAAGGTTCCTTTCAATGAACAAAACATACTGATCCGTGGTCCTTGCAGTATGTAGTTGATTTTGTGTTTAGCTGTGCGTGACACGTGTGTTAGGTTAGTATATCAGCTGTATCAGTTCTCCGGTATCATTGGCCGGGGTGGGGGGCTGGGGGGTTGAGGGCTGAGGGCACTAAGTGGGCGACAGGCTGGGCCAGGACGGGATCAGTTTTCAGCCTGTTCATTCAAGCCCATTCACTGCTCTGCCTTTGCAGAATGGGGCCCTTTGATGGAGGAGATATTTAGTTCTCAGGCGGTTGGTTTGGCACTGACTGGAGCTGGGGCTTATTTGAAAGAGATCTTCCTGCCCCCATTGCCTCCAAACCCCCCCCCCCCTCCACCTCCTGTAGGCGAGCGGAAGCCGCGACAGACAGACAGCCCCACAGCAGCCCACCCACACTAAATTAATTCTGACAAGGAACTTAAGATAACGTCAAAGCGCTGACTAATCGCGGGATTGGGTTTCTGTAAGTCAGGGAGCTGTGAAATGTGCCATCATATCTAATAAAAGACCTCCGGTTGTTCCCTTTTTCTCTCAGCGGTGGTGAAGGTTGGGGGGTGTGCGGCTGTGGTGTCGACTGTCTAGCTATACAGCTCTGAAAAACAATTAGATTTCACTTCAGCAGTGAAAGTGCAAGTGTGTGTGTGTGATGGTGTGTGTGTTATCTCGGGTATGATGATTGACATGTTTGTCAAGAGGCCTAAAGAATCCTTTCCTCCCAGTTTCCTCTACCTTTTTTCTCATTCTCTGGGTCTTTTGTTGAGTTCTGCTCCCGCGTTCTTTGCCATTACAGGTTCGTCCATTGTCGTCTTTACTGTGGTGGTTGAATGGTTTTATTTTCTGTGACTGCTCTGTTTTCTACCCATTTCTACCTTCCTATTTTCTCAATCTCTTTCTGTCTCTTTCCTCGGCGTCTGAGCTGCTGGCAGTGAAAGTCATCAGGTTTGGAGCTAATCCTGCCAACTTGATTAGGCTGCAGGTAGCTTTTACGCCGGCGGGCAAAAGGTCGCAACATTGAAGAGAGCTGGATGGACTTCTTGACTCAGACCATCCACATTGACTTTATAACTTACAGCACCAGGCCCTAAGGAGGGGTAATTGAAAGGCGAGGGGAAGGAAAAGAAAATTAGGAAAGTAAGAGTTTAGAGGAGAGAGAAAAGAAAAAGGGGAAACAGAGAGAAAAACTGTGGAGGCAAAGCTTGAGAATGTATCTGAAGGGGCAAGCGCTGTTGCTGTAGCTATTAGAGAACATTGTTTTGTTGAGTGAAGGCAAGGGTGAGATGATGGAAAGTGTAACTAGAGAATGAAGTCCAGAAGCCATTCTGCTTCCTGTCTTAGTCTATGGCTTTATATAGGTTTCAATTCAACAATATATTGAGTTCACATATGTTGAAATTGGCTCTCTGAGACTGCTCTAAAACCTCACAGGGTCCCGGGCTGTAAAGGTGGATGTCCTAGGTTTCTTCATTTGAAATTAAAAACCTCTATTTACTTCTGCTTTTAATGAACTTCAGAGAGTCGGTAAAAAGTGAGCTATACAGATGGAAGCCCATTTGAAACCTGCTGTCAATGTGAAGTCCGGGGGTTGAGCCCAGAAAGAACATCCATGTTTATGACCTGCTATAAACACACATACAGTGCTCCGTGCTGCCATTAAAGTTACAGCACGGTTTCACTATAAGACATGACATATGACAGAAATCTATCTTAAAAATTGGATTTAGGTGGTTTGTTGCTTTTGCATTTTTTCTGAAATGTATATCTTCTTTCTTTATATTTTTCCTGCCTTTTGTGATTTGAAAAAAAAAAAGAAAAGTGAAATGTTGTTATGTACTGTATCCAGAAGTATATTTCCTCAGAAAGTAATTGCTATATTCTCCTTGGAGAGAGCAAAGTCAGAGGTCATACAAACAAACCAGAATATTAACAGTCCTTTTGTGTTGTTTAAAGTGGTGTCTATTAATTTTACACACACTGCCGTCAGCAATCCTGAGCCATGCTGGTAATGCTTTGACCTCGCTGAAGCTGTGTTTTCACAGATAGTGAGCTTTGGGCAAGCATAGTTAAGATTTGTTGCACTCCTACAGTCTGTCACAAAAAAAGGCAGTATATTTCCTGTACAACTATTGTACCAGAAAAAAAAGGAGTATCATGCACCGTAATACAGAAAGACACGGACAAACAGGGTTAGGTGGAAAAAAAGTTCTGCACTTTTGTAGCTTGTGTAGATTTGCCTGCTATCAAATCATTCCAACAAAAAGAAACACCCACCTTATAACCAAGAGTGTCCATTCTGTCAGTAAGTGTGTTCCAGGAGAATAAAGTGAGATGCATCATAAGGCCTGCCTAAAGAAGAAGAGAAAGAGGAAAAGATACTAAAAGGGAGAAAGAACTAAAGCATTAGGCAGTGTTCAACCGGTTTGTAACAGTCTATAACATTTTATCCCCTTGCGTTTTTCCCCTCTGAAACGAAAGTGTGTCAGTTTGAACGGTTATTTAATGTGTTGCCATTGTAAGACATCTGGATGCGTTCATGGCCCAGGAGCAGGCAGGAGGCAGTTTATAGACCTTCGCTAGAAAATGTGATGGGCTGTCTGAGATAGCACTTTGGCTCTTTGTCATATATGCTTAAGCACACACACATTCATACACACAATTGTGTTAGACAAGATTCAACCAATTAATACTCTCATTATCTATCGATTATGATTGAGACGTCTCATTTCAAGTTTGCAGAGACCAAAGTGAAATGTTAAAACACCCCTTTTTCCATTATTTGATTATCTGAATTCATTCACAGAGTTCTATTTCTTTTTGTAATTGATTATTGTTGTTCAACACATCAAGTCGTTTTAATAATAATATCAACCTTACTTTTACTTTATGCTCCAGCAAAAAAACACACATGAACAGAATAGCATCAATCACAACACCATAACATGTTTAATTATGCAGGTATGTAGGCCTGGTAAGCTCACACACACACACACACACACACACACACACACACACACACACACACACACACACACAGGAGTGAGTGTGTGTCTGTGTGCGTGTGTTTGCACTAATTGCAGCCATACTTAGAAAATGGTGTGATCAAAAGTCATTTAATCCCTCCCTTTTAAAAATGCATCATTAGATTACCATATGGCATCAGTAATATTCATATGAATAGGAGATCTGTGTGTTGTTGGACATCAAAAGCTTTCATTCCAATTTCTCTGCATACACACATTCAATGTATTCCCTAACAATCGACCACAGGGTTGAAGATGAGGT